AGGTGACTCCTTTAGGGCACTGTTGCAATGCCAGGATGGAAGCAAAAGAGGATCCAAGGAGGACACTTCAACAGCAGATTAGGAAAAGGGCACAGAGATTCTCATGACTGGATTCATCAGCCAGACCTGCAGTTACACTTTTGTATTTGATTTTCCTTTCAGATTTTGACTGCAGTCCTTCTAGGACTCATCCTGACTCCAGCCTTTGGTGAATATGTGAGTACAGTGACCATTTCCCACATTCACAGCTGCTGTTTCCATATCCCCTGCTTTGGGAGATCTCCCTGATCCTTTCACCACTCCTTGGGCGGATAGAAATTGAAATCTCCTCTCAGACATGAAACTCTAAGGGCACCACACGCCAGCTGTAAGATGCAGCAATGATTCACTGAAGGCAGGGAAAGAATTCTTATGGCTACGGCCCAACGCCACAGCCTTGATCCTTTGTCCTTGAGGAGATCCTGAGGGCGCTGCTGGCACTCCCTGCAGGCAACACCTTTTCTACCAGGGGATTGAGGAGTTCACTGATTCCCTTCGTAATCTAAACATGCTCCATTACTTGGTGTTTTAGTCTCAGCAGAGTGATAACAACTGCCAGATCTCTGTTGGTGGAGTCTTCCAAAATATGACCATCAGTAGTCAAACCCGCGTGGCAGTTTTTGAGCAAAGAAGCAACGATTTGTCATGGAAAACCATCTGGAACTACAACACGGTGAGTGGCAGGGAGCGGGCTTGTCCAGGCACTGTGACAGGAGGCTGCCTCCTGCTCCAGCTGAACAAGGCCCGGGGCTTCTTGCTTTCTTCTCAACCTTTCCAGTCCAGGATTTGGGGGAGGAACTATTGGTATTCCTTGCTGGTTTCAATCCACACTTTCTCCCAGGTTTTCCAAGTGAGAAAAGTGATTCACCAGTGCTCAATACCTTTCTCTTTACAGGGCATCATTGCAACCAAAGTGATGCAACAGAACACCTGCTACATTTCCATCATGAACAAAAACAAGATACCCACGTTTGACGCTCTCTTCAGACTGGCCAGTGAGAGCAGGGTAAGATTAAAAGCAGAAGTTGCCTTGGTTGTTGTGGAGTGATTGATATTCATTTTTTGTCTGAGAAATTGGTATTTTCAAAAACTTGTAATTGATTTGGTTAATTTAAAACCCATTTATTTAACTTTGGAGATATTTTTAGTTACATCATTTGAAAGCTTTCAAAAAATACAATATCCATGTTCAAATGCCTGTAGCACATATGAAGACTGTTTATTCTAAGTTGCCAATTACTTAGATTACTTTTATAATGTTTATTTAATTTGAAACACTTTAATACTATCTTATGATCAGAGAGTTTAGATATTTGGTTAGAATAATTTACTTTTCAGAATCTCTCATTCTCCCAGAGTAAAAACTGTATTTTTACAGTAAAGTCAAAATCAGGAATGAAAAACTTTACACTATGAAGAAAAAGAGGTTAAATAAGCTTTCAATCTTTTTCAAAAGAACCTTACACCATAATATCACGAGTTCAACCAACAAAACTGGCATTTTAAAACTTATCTCAAAATTCAGCAAACTTACTGTGAGTACACAGAAGCTTACCTTAAAGACTTGGACGTGAATCCAAAGGCAGCTGCCACTCACACCCGAAGCACCCGCTCGTCACTGCACAACTCCCCATGTGCACGCCATGAAATGTATCCTGGCACTCATCTTGCTGAATGCTGTCGTTTGATCTCTAGAACCACACTGGTCTTGGAAGACCTGCAAAGAAGATCACCTTTGTCACCAGTGGTTTGGTCAACAACCTCAACTCCTACGGAGCAGACATCATGGCCATGTGCAGCGGACTCACCACCTACATGACCTATGAAGTTCACGGTGAGTGCAACCAAAGGAATTCTCTCTCCCATTGGCCTGCCACTTTCTTTCCCTTGGCCAATGACTACTGCACCTGTGCTCTTCTGCCAACTCAAGATGGACAGAAAACAAGAGCTTCAGCTTAGGCAGAAAGGCTTTGGCATCTCTGCAGCTCACGACTGGACCGGCCTTGAGTGCCAGCCTCCAGAACTGAGCCGCTCCAAACCCTTCCACCTCCCTTCCGGGAGGCTGAAGGGGGTTAAAGTTTGGGCCTCGAATTTTGGTCCACCTTGACCTTCTCGGCAATGCCCTGGCAAAGACAAAGGCTCGGCCTAAGAACCCCTGTCCTTCCCTTCCCACCTTGCTCACCACTTCACCCAGGAAGCCACCAAAGCCTTGTGAGCTTCACAGCACCAAGACAAGTGCCTTCGTTCCCTGGGCCTTCTTACCCAGGCCAAGGATGGCATTGCCCTCCACTTTAAGGACCTGCACTGGGCACGCTGCTCGCAGAAGCTCCCAGCCCCACAGGGCCCAGGAACTGGCACCAGCCTCAGCCTGGAGTGCCCAGCCCCCTGCCCTCC